CTCTAGAGATATTCAAGACCCGCCTGGACACGGTCCTGTGCAGCCTGCTGTGGGTGACTCTGCTTGGGCAGGGGGTTGGGCTGGGTGACCCACAGAGGTCCCTTCCAAACCCTACTATTCTGTGATTCTGTGATTAGAGAGAAAGCATACATGGAAAAGTGTTAAACACCCCACAAACTTTACTTATCCACCGGGATTCAAATTTCCCTTAAATGTATCAGAAGTACCCTTTGCCTTCCTTGCACATGCTGGTTCCTTTCTAGGGACAAGGCTTCCCGACGACAGCATGAACGCGTCCAGCATCTGTCACCGAGAAGAGGCAATCTACCCTACGCCTGCCCCACCACCTCCCACGCGTCACTGGTCTTCCATTGGCTTTTCTGACCTTGTCCGTTTGCTTTTCCTACCACCACGCATTCTCCTACTACCTTCTCTCTTCATGTTTTTCTCTTCTTCTCTCCCTATAGTACTGCCACACATAGAAGGTAAGTATGTCCAAAGCAGCGTCCAGAGAATATGACCCTCTTCTCCCAGGGGATCGTATCAGTCCCATCTTTGCAAAAGTTCAAGAAGTAGGATAAATCTTTTACTCTAGAGTATCACCAATTACCTCCATGAAATCCACACACAGCACTTATACGGCTCCCAGTAACACTCGCTAACCATTGCCTACTATAAACACACTGATTTTGCAACACATAATTAGAAAAAGTATAATTTGAAACGAGAAGAAAACTTTAAATTGTGTCCTGACAGCTGAAAACTGGCCCCTTTCCACAACAGTCAAAACCTAGCATCTTGCTCCTGTCAGAAGGATGACCTACACTCCAGCCTCATTAAAACAAACCAGAGTTAACTTGATATTTCGCAAGCTTTCCATCTCAGAAATGAACATTGACCTCTATTGTTCTGTTCCTGCAGGCAAGGTTATCTGATTTAGACAATGGCTGAGGGTGCTGAGCAGCCAACAGCATCTGACATCATTTGTCAAATGGTTCTCAGGTAGATGCAACTTCATGGGAAATTTCTGTTTCCTTCCAATTATTAAGCTGGACAAAAGATGCCTCTCAAAATACTTCTCTCCTAGCTGCCAGGCAAGAGCACCATCTGGTGTTCAGCTAATTAAACTTGCAAACGGATTTTTGGATCAGGTTTTTTTGTTTGCTTGGTTTTTCAATTATGTTTCTGGTTTGTTTGGGTTTTTTTGTTTTGTTTTGAAGCAAACTTACTCAGCACTGGATCTGATTCCATGAAATAGGCACAAATAAAGCTACAAAGTGAACTATAAAAAGAACTCTTTTACTTTGGTGGGGGAGGGAGGAGCAGTAGAACAACTGGAAGAAATTGCTGGGGCTTTATATACAACTATTTCCTCCTAAGAAAACCCACTGCGGTATTATGTGACTTCATAGAACATTGTCCATCTTGTTAGTCATGGGTACGCTGTAAGCAATTCTTGCATTTTCAGGGATCTTAGAGAAAAAACGACTGCTCCCTCACCCACTGCCAATTCTGTACCATGCTTTACAACCCTTCACAGCACGGTACCTCCTTGCTAACCTCTGGCGATCCTCTCCATGCAGAAGACAAAAATATTCTTCCTCCTCTTCACTCTTTACAACAAACAATGCTTAGTAAACACCTCCCAGTTGTTTACCTTAACCACTTTCCCTCCCAGCTGTCTGAACTTTCACTTACTCACAGGCACTGTACCCTGAGACACAGACTATCTATCAGATCTGCTCCTTATTGTCATGAACACAAACGTGGCTCGTCGCCTTTCAGAAGCTACCGTGCACAAGACAGCACAGAGGTCAGTCATGTAACGTGGAAACTGAATCTCACTAGAAATTACATTCCATTCCTCATTCAATCACTATTTATATTCAAGGTTCAAGAGCTCAGAGTAGTCATAAATCTGCGCTAGTTTTTCACCTTCTGAAAAAAAGATACCTTTGACGACCACTCATTTTGACAGGAGCTCTGTCTTAACAAGAAAAAAAAAAAGAATGTGGCAATAAAATTGGCCAGAACTACTCTCAAACACATTTCCAATTTATTAAAGATTAAAAGCGTTCCCCAGTTTAGCAGTAACACGCTGTGGCCTATTTAAACGTGTTACACAAGTGTTTAGATGTAACCCGTTATGACCCTTTACAAAAAAACTAGGTCCTTTGCAAGGAAATACTGGTAATAATACAAGGGCTAAGACATTCACCTGACAGAGAAGTATCAGGTCACTTGGTAAACCGCAAATCAGTTTAAGTAATACCGAAAGGTATTAAAGTAATACCAGAGTGTTCTTGTAAGACTGATAATCATCACATAAGCCAACAAATTTAGCAGTGGACCTGGATTAACAGAAGTCACAAGGATTTATGTTCTGTATTTCTGGAGATGTGCTATGGATCCTCTCAAAAACATTAATTCCATTTATATCTACACCACTTGGCTACAGAGAAAAGACATGCAAATCTTGAATTTTATATAGATATTTAGAAAAACATTTTTACAGAGACACCATGCCAAGCTTCTTTTTAAAATGTGTAAGGGGGGTTGAAACACAGAGATTAAAAAACTCAACAGCTGATCTACAATTAAGTTACAGAAGACGCACAATTTGCTGTAAGTTCAGTGGAAACATCACACATTGGAGTCTTCAGCAACTCCAGAAAAGCCAGAGGCTAGCTATAAAAAAAAAAAGCTCCCCCAACACTACAGACCCTACTTCTGATCTTTCCCAGCTACCAGGAGAATGGATAGCTATTATGAAGAAGAAAGGAACCCACGGGAATGGAAGAGGTGGTGGAAAGAGCTTCCAAAATTAGAAACAACAGAATCCATTTTACACAGGCATTTATTCCTCTCCTACCTAAAACAGGAATGATAAAAAAAACACTCATTTGCTTTCAGAATTGTCACTTCCACAAATACATCACCAAGGCGCAGTTCTTCAGCAAGCACCCTCTTACCTGTTTGTTGGAGTGGTAAAGCTAAAAGACAGCAGCTGATTCCAGAAGGGGTCATTCTCAGAGATGGGCTCTGCTCCTGATAATTTTTTCAAGTACTCATTTTCTGGAAGCTCGCTGATACTGCTGCTATTTGCTCCCATCTTCTTTATCTGGCAAATCCCTTTCTAAATTTTCATTTCTTCAAGAAAAAAAAAAAAAGGAGAAACGTTTACAGTGTTTTGTGTACAAATAAGGAATATACAGATCTTAAATTAGCTATCAGTAAAGCTTTAGTTTGCTACCTTGAACAATTACCGAAATGTAAAAAAAAAAAGGCTCATAGGAAGACATTACGAAGATTTTCTTTCAACTTAGAAGAATAACATCTTCACCCAAAGTTAAAAGTTACTGCGCTATATACTTCAGTCATTGTCTCACTTGGATCTTCATAGATTGCACTCAGCAAGAACACAGAGTCACAGTTGTATCAATCTCAAGGCTGCTACCAGTGGGTAAAACTGCAAGGAATTCACAATTTAAACAAGGGCGTCGAGTTGAGAAGCTATTCAAAAATGTATTTTCCAACAGAATATGCATAGATGGAAAATGACTCCCATTGTCAAGAAAGGCAGTCAACTGTGCAGCTAATTCCTGCGTGCCATCGGTGAACTACACCTTGAAAGCTCCCACCTCGCCAAAAGTAGCACAGCCCTATGCTGCACAGTTAACCTGAATAAAGTGAAGAAAGGTACTACTGACCACACACCAACCTTCTGATCTTTGTAAAATTATGTGGTTGGTTCCAGTCAGCTACTTCAAGGAGGAAAAAAAGCTAAAAAATGGACACATCAGAAGCACAACTGCTTTCTGAAGCAACGCCACAGTAGTTGGTAGAGACGCACTACAAACCCCCTTGTCGTTACTAGCTGTGTTGTACTTGATCTGTGCAAAGAACAAGAAGATTTCAATTCTCCAGGCTGCTTATCAGTGCTTCACACCTTTCTCAGCAATTTAATTAAAGGAAAACCCACCATGATGCTATTAATTATGTGCCAGGGATGCTCCTAAGCATCTTACGTCTTCCATGACATCACCTTCAATAATCTCCCATCTTTTGAGAAGAAATAACTGTGACTAATAGCTTTAAAAGTTTATATTTTGAAAAAAAGCACTGTACAATGTATTACTGTGTAACCTAAATACTCCCTCCAGAGCTATCATAAGACATCAGAACAGGAACAGATAAATTGGAAGGTGTAAGCTACTACCCAGCAGCAACTCTTCGCTCAGTCTTGACAAAGATACAGGATCTGTTGCAAGAATCCGTGAAGAACTCAAGGAAGGGTCTAGAGAACAAGTCTTATGAGAAGCAGCTGAAGGAACCGGGATTGTTTAGTCTGGAGAAGAGGAGGCTGAGGGGAGACCTTATTGCTCTCTACAACTACCTGAAAGGAGGTTGTAGTGAGGCCGGTGTTGGTCTCTTCTCCCAAATAACCAGCGACAGGACAGGAGGAAACAGCATCAGGGGAGGTTTAGATTTTATATTAGGAAAAATTTCTTTACTGAAAGAGTTGTGAAGCATTGGAATAGGCTGCCCAGGGCAGTGGTGGAGTCCCCTGAAAGGGTTCAAAAAACATGTAGATGTGGCACTTCAGGACATGGTTTAGTAGGCGTGGTGGTGTTGGGGTGACGGTTGCACTTGATGATCTTTGAGGTCTTTTCTAACATTCATAATTCTATTCTATGATTCTATGAATCACTCCAGTACTGATTCTTAGACTCCTCATCTTCGAAGAAGCAGTTACATCCAAAAAAGACTATTCTAGTAGCAGTTATTTTTAATAAAGAACAGTATAAAAATGAGGAAAAGTTACTACAAAGAAACAAAGAGATGCAACAAAAAGCTGCAATGTTTGCAGCCATCACGGAAGCTATCTGAAGAACTTACATGTGAGATTTGGAGCGAAAGCACAGTACCCAAATATTTCAGAAAAAAACAAAATGCCAGCACAGAGACTAGAATATAGAATCACAGGCTGGAAAAGACCTCTAAGATCATCAAGTCCAACCGCTACCCCAACAACCCCATGCCTGCTAAAGCATGTCCCCAAGTGCCACATGTACACGTTTTTTAAACCCCTCCACAGATGAGGACTTCACCACTGCCCTGGGCAGCCTGCTCCAATGCTTGACCACTCCTTCAGTAAAGAAATTTTTCCTAATACCTAATCTAAACCTCTCCTGACGCAACTTGAGGCCAATTGCCTCTCATCCTACAGGACACTACTAAGTAATAAAGAGGTCTTTAAAAGGTGAGATCCTACAAAAATAAGAAAAATATTTATTATTTTCTACATTTTGTTGGTAGGGGACACTATAGGCTGGGAAAATGCCACTCCACACTCCTCTCCATTCTAGTACTCCATCCTCCACCATCGCTATTCGCTGCTCCAGAAGACAGAGCAGAACACAGCGAGATGAAACTTTACATTGTCTCAGTACATCTGCTCTTACAACTTCACCACTGGAACTCTGCCGTCATGCACCCAGGGAGCTCTATTTTCACAAGGCAGTTTGGGTTCTACCACCTCCCTTTACATCTGACCAAAGCGGAGACACACACAATAACCTTATAACCTCATCTATGTCTCATTTAGCAAAAAGCTCTGAAGACACTATCTACAGCATTTGCAGAAGCCATTTTTGTCATGGGGACTACTTGCAGGAAGAGAAATCTAAAAGTGGCCTAGGAGTAAAAAATGGAAGTTTGTGCCAGGGAATTCTGTGGAGAAGCACTAAAGGATTATAAAACATAATTAGTTTAAGAGGATTTCTAGAACTTTGGTTGAAGTTCTTACAGAACAGGATGAATGCACCTCACTTGAACACAAATTTTGCTGCTTCAAAGAAAAAAGCCTCAGACTCAGTGCACACTACCTTTGAAATAAAGCCAATGATTACTAAAGCTAGAGAATATAGTAGAAGAGAAGCCCATTTGCATAATACATGAGAATACTGGATCATCACTTCAAAGGAGAAGAATCAAGGTTCAGCTTGTACACGGACTTCTCAGCTCTGCAGCCCCTGGGCTGCACGTGCCCAACTCCTGCAAAAGCCAACAACAATGCTCTTGACCCTGGACCTGTATCTTGACCCAAGTCCTTTCCCTGCACCTTTAAATGACTTAAAGGTCATACATTTAAACCGTTATTTCTTGGAAGCACAGACAGTTCAAGTCTGTCTCTGCTTCAAGTTCCTGTCCTCTGCTAGTGCTTTCCAGCTCACGTAAGGAGCAGCTTGCTTGCTCCAAGATGAACACCTAAGGGAAAAGACAAACAAGAGGTAGCTGGAGCTCTGCCTTCAAATTCCTCCACCTCAGCCTACAGCTCGAGTTCCCTGTGCCAGCGCTTCGACCGTGCCCTAAATCCTTAGCCCATCCTCCTACGGAGAGTAACTCCACTTTATTCTCTGTTTCACGAGCTATTCTCACAGCTTGCTGCAGCTCCCAAAGCTCTCCATTTAACTCATTTCCCCAGCAATAGGGGAGAGATGGTAACAGTTTGCAAGCTAGTTCTTGAAGAGTCTGCATACTTTCCACATTTCCTGCAGATCAATCCCAGTAGATTAAATTCCATTACATCAAACCCTCCAAAACATATAGTGCTGCCAAAGCAAGTTTAAATAAATGATTTATTGCCTATTTTCAGTATCATTGTCAAATGGACATTGCCCAAGAACACGCCCACTTCTGTGGTCAAAGCCATACTCCAGAGCAACTGGGTGAGCTGCTGGCTTGTGAGCTCTCCCTGTGCCCTACCGCCCGCCCGGCTCCTTCCAAACTGTATTTGTTACTCCACAGCACTTCCTCAAAGTCACAGAAAAATATGGCACTAGTCTATCATTTTTTCCTCTAAATGAAAGAAACCTCAAGCCATCAAGGTCTGTCAGAAGAACCCAATTGCTAGCTTGAGCTCTAAACACTTGTAGAGCTAGTTAGTAGCTATGCGGACTTTGCAAGCTTTGCCTTCTACTTATTTGTGAGCCAACAAATCTTGGTGCAATCAAATAAACATGCAGATTTTTCTCTCTGTTATGTCCCAGAAGTTTTCTTTTTCCTCTCCTAAGAACATTATATTCACTGTACTCCTCTAAAGTAAAAAAATCTCAGCAAGGTCTAGTGATACTTATTGTAGATCACCATACTTAGAAACAACATACAATGGGTGTAACAAAGCTAACTCCTTCCATGAGGAATTTACAGTATCTCAAAACTCGCTGAAGTGCTCTGCGATGATTCTGTGATACAGCCTGAGCACCTTCAGCTCCTACAACCTCCACAGACAGAGGCCCAGCTTTACATAAGACATTTCTGAGGAACTCCAGATGACAGAGGAAACAAGGCTTTCTTTCGGAGTCCACAAATATACTGCAGGAAAAACGTCTAAAAATAATTAAAAATTAAAAAACAATCAAGACTATTCCCCAGCATCTTAACAACGGTAACAGATGAACCCCAATGCTTTAACCTTGATGGCTACATGCTATCCATGATCTCCAACACCTCTCCAAGACAGATGCTATTCTTCATTCACCACCCTAAACCCTTTTCAAACACGCTATTAAACAGCAGACATGTTTCTTTTAGAAACAGCTGCCGTTAGCAGCAATTATCACGCAAAATTAGCAAATTGCTTTTGATCAAGAGGCACTACTGCTGTGCCTCTAACTGCATGCTGGTTAAAGCAGTAGAGGTTCAAATCTTCAGAGGACATAAAAGGTTGGTCAGTATTTGGACCACAACACCGTATGTTTTTAAATTGTTATTTTTTAAATTTTAAATTCTCACCCATGATTTTCCCTAAACTTGACTGTCCTAACAGCCCCCACTGCACAGAGAGGCAGCTGCAGGAGATCCCAGACACTTGAGAAGACAAGGTTAAACAGATTCTGCCTGCTCACACGCTGAAGTGGGACAACCACAAGACACACCAAATAACAGGAAATCTCCTTTCACTCCAGAAAAGTCAGTCCTAACCCCAGCAGTAAATCACCAATGAAATACAATTTTTTTTTTCCATGCACATTAAATAAATGCATGGTTCACTGGGGAAAAAATATTAGTCTTCCCTTGAAAAAAATTAATCTAATTATTTGCTGAAAAAAGATACAGACACAACTTCTTAGCAAGCAATTTAGTTTAAT